GTTTTGGGGATATTTTCACAGGGATTTTTTTAATATTTCGGGGATATTTTGGGGATATTTTTGGGGATATTTTGGGACGTTTTTGGGTCATTCTCACCTTTCTAGAATTGTGGAACACGCCGCGTCTCTGCAGGATCCAGGCCGGGCGTTTGAGGCCGTGGGCGCACGCCGGGAGGGGGGAGCGGCCGGGGGGGGCCCCGGTGACCCCCAGAGCCAGGGAGGAGCTCCACTGGGGGTTCAGGGCGTCGATCTGAACCTGTGACGTCATCGTGACGTCATCAGTGACGTCATCATACACACACATGTCATCAGCACCCCCCAATGTCACACAGAAACCCCCCCAACCCAAATAACCCCATCCCAAATCGGCTCCACTGGGGGTTCAGGGCGTCGATCTGCACCTGTGACGTCATCGTGATGTCATCACAACGTCAGTGATGTCATCACACTCTCGGTGACGTCATTACCCCCCCCTCGGTGTCACTCAGAGCCCCCACAATTCACGTTAACCCCACCCAAAATCGGCTCCACTGGGGGTTCAGGGCATCGATCTGAACCTGTGACGTCATCAGTGACGTCATCAGTGACGTCATCACACCCTCAGTGTCACTCAGAGCCCCCCCCAATATGACAATAACCCGACCCAAAATCGGCTCCATTGGGGGTTCAGGGCGTCGATCTGAACCTGTGACGTCATTGTGACGTCATCAGTGACGTCATCGCAACATTGGTGACATCATCACACCCCCATTGACGTCATCATACCCCCACTGTATCATCAACCAACCCCCAATGTGACGTTAATCCCTCCCCAAAATCGGCTCCATTGGGGGTTCAGGGCCTCAATCTCCAGCTGTGATGTCATTGTGACATCATCAGTGACGTCATCACATCAGTGACGTCATCAGCAGCCCTCAATGTCACACTGAGCCTCCTGCTCCCATTGGTTGATCCCTATGACATCACCCTTATGACATCACCAACCCTCCCACTCCCATTGGCCCATCCCCTATGACATCACCCCTATGACATCACTGCCCCGCCCACCATCATTGGCCAGTTCTGATGACATCACCAACCCTCCCGCTCCCATTGGTTGACTCCCAATGACATCACCAACCCCCTTAATCCCCATTGGCCCATCCCCTATGACATCACCAACCATCTTAATCCCCATTGGTTGATCCCTTATGACATCACTGCCCCTCCCGCCGCCATTGTTTGATTCCCTATGACATCATTGACACTCTCAGCCCCCATTGGCCAATCCCCTATGACATCATCACTACGATGTCACAGATCCTCTATGACATCACCAACGCTTCCACTCCCATTCGCTGATCCCTTATGACATCACCCCTATGACATCACTGCCCCTCCCACCATCATTGGCCAGTTCTGATGACATCACCGACCCTCCCGCTCCCATTGGCCAATCTCCTATGACATCATCGCTATGATGTCACAGACCCTCTATGACATCACCAACCCTCTCGCTCCTATTGGTTGATTCCCAATGACATCACTGACCCCCTTAATCCCCATTGATTGATCCCTATGACATCAGCCTTATGACATCACCAACCCTCTCACTCCCATTGGTTGATTCCCAATGACATCACTGACCCCCTTAATCCCCATTGGTTGGTCCCTTATGACATCACTGCCCCTCCCGCTGCCATTGGCCAATCCCTTATGACATCACCCCTATGACGTCACTGCCCCTCCCGCCGTCATTGGCTCATTCTGATGACATCACCGACCCTCCCACTCCCATTGGCTGATCCCTTATGACACCATCAACCCTGCCACTCCCATTGGCCAATCCCTTATGACATCACCAACCCTCCCGCTCCCATTGGTTGATCCCTATGACATCACCAACCCCCTTAATCCCCATTGGCCCATCCCCTATGACATCACCAACCCTCCCGCTCCCATTGGTTGATCCCTATGACATCACCAACCATCTTAATCCCCATTGGTTGATCCCTTATGACATCACCCCTATGACATCACTGCCCCTCCCGCCGTCATTGGCTCGTTCTGATGACATCACTCACCCTCCCGCTCTCATTGGCCAATCCCCTATGACATCATCGCTATGATGTCACAGACCCTCTATGACATCACCAACCCTCCCGCTCCTATTGGCTAATTCCCCATGACATCACCAACCATCTTAATCCCCATTGGTTGATCCCTATGACATCACCCCTATGACATCACCAACCCTCTCGCTCCCATTGGTTGATTCCCAATGACATCACTGACCCCCTTAATCCCCATTGGTTGATCCCTTATGACATCACTGCCCCTCCTGCTCCCATTGGCCGATCCCCTATGACATCACCACGATTACATCACTGCCCCTCCCGCCGTCATTGGCTCGTTCTGATGACATCACCAACCCTCTCACTCTCATTAGTTGATTCCCAATGACATCACCAACCCCCTTAATCCCCATTGGCCCATCCCCTATGACATCACCGACCCTCTCGCTCCCATTGGCTGATTCCCAATGACATCACCAACCATCTTAATCCCCATTGGTTGATCCCTTATGACATCACCAACCCCCTTAATCCCCATTGGCCCATGCCCTATGACATCACCAACCATCTTAATCCCCATTGGTTGATCCCGATGACATCACCGCCCCTCCCGATGACGTCACGCTGACGTCACAGGTGGGCGGGGTTACCTGGAAGAGCCGCCCGGGGGGGAGGGGCTGCGCCACCAGCACCAGGCCCTGGTTGTAGCTGGAGACGCGCGTGGCCGTGCGCGCCCCGTTGGACAGCAGGATGTTCTTGCCGTGGCACCCCAGGAACGTGGGGGGACCCTGAAAATGGGGTGAGAAACACGGAATTTGGGGAAAAAATGGGAATTGGGGAAAAAAACCAGAAATTCGGAGAAAAAAACCCGAAATTCAGGGGATTTGGGGATGGTTTACAGGGGTTAAAGGGGGGAGGGGCAGCAGGATGTTCTTGTTGTGGCACCCCAAAAACGTGGGGGGACCCTGAAAATGGAAACTTGGGGTGAAAAAATGGGAATTTGGGAAAAAACCCCAAAATTCGGGGGTCCCTGGGTGATTTTGGGGAGATTTAAAGGGGATTTATGGGGGTTTGAATGGGGGAGGGGCAGCAGGATGTTCTTGCCGTGGCACCCCAAAAACGTGGGGGGACCCTGAAAATGGGGTGAGAAAATGGGATTTTGGGAAAAAAATGGGAATTGGGGGAAAAAACCCGAAAATCGGGGGATTTCGGGATGGTTTAAAAGGGTTAGATGGGGTTTATGGGGTTTGAATGGGGGAGGGGCAGCAGGATGTTCTTGCTGTGGCACCCCAGGAACGTGGGGGGACCCTGAAATGGGGTGAAAAACATGGAATTTGGGAAAAAATGGAAATTCGGGGAAAAAAACCCGAAATTTGCGGCATTTGGGGCTGTAAAATGGGAGATATGGGGGTTTGAATGGGGGAGGGACAGCAGGATGTTCTTGCCGTGGCACCCCAAAAACGTGGGGGGACCCTGAAACGGGGTGAAAAACATGGAATTTGGGAAAAAAACAGAAATTGGGGGAAAAAACCCGGAATTTGGGGCATTTGGCGCTGTAAAATGGGAGTTATGGGGTTTGAGTGGGGGAAGGGCAGCAGGATGTTCTTGCCGTGGCACCCCAGGAACGTGGGGGGACCCTGAATTGGGGTGAGAAAATGGGAATTTGGGGAAAAAATGGGAATTGGGGAAAAAAACCCGAAATTCGGGGGATTTGGGGGAGGTTTAAAAGGGTTAGATGGGGTTTATGGGGTTTGAATGGGGGAAGGGCAGCAGGATGTTCTTACCATGGCACCCCAAAAACGTGGGGGGACCCTAAATTGGGGTGAAAAACATGGAATTTGGGAAAAAAATGGGAATTGGAGAAAAAAACCCGAAATTTGGGGGATTTGGGGGAGGTTTAAAAGGGTTAAATGGGGTTTATGGGGTTTGAATGGGGGAGGGGCAGCAGGATGTTCTTGCCGTGGCACCCCAGGAACGTGGGGGGACCCTGAATTGGGGTGAAAAACATGGAATTTGGGAAAAAATGGAAATTTGGGGAAAAAAACCCGAAATTCAGGGGATTTGGGCGAGGTTTAAAAGGGTTAGATGGGGTTTATGGGGGATGGAATGGGGGAGGGGCAGCAGGATGTTCTTGCCGTGGCACCCCAAAAACGTGGGGGGACCCTGAAATCCCAAAATTGGGGTGAAAAACATGAAATTTGGGAAAAAAAAAACAAAATTGGGGAAAAAAACCCGAAATTCAGGGGACTTGGGGGCAGTTTAAAGGGGTTAAAGGGGGGAGGGGCAGCAGGATGTTCTTGCCGTGGCACCCCAGGAACGTGGGGGGACCCTGAAAATGGAAATTTGGGGTGAAAAACATGAAATTTGGGAAAAAACCCGAAAATCGGGGGATTTCGGGATGGTTTAAAAGGGTTAGATGGGGTTTATGGGGTTTGAGTGGGGGAAGGGCAGCAGGATGTTCTTGCCGTGGCACCCTTAAAACGTGGGGGGACCCTGAAAATGGGGTGAGAAAATGGGAATTTGGGAAAAAAACCCGAAATTCGGGGAAAAAACCCGAAATTTAGGGAAAAAACCTGAAATTCAGGGGATTTATGGAGGTTTGAATGGGGGAGGGACAGCAGGATGTTCTTGCCGTGGCACCCCAAAAACGTGGGGGGACCCTGAAATCCCAAAATTGGGGTGAAAAAATGGGAATTTGGGGTTAAAAAAATGGAAATGGGGGTCAAAAAGTGTAAATTGGGGGCACTGAGGGGAATTTGGGGGAATTTAAAGGGGATTTCGGGAGGATTTGGGGAACTGGGAGGGAACGGGGAGACCCCAAACCCCTCCATGAAACCACAGCCCAATCCCAGTTCATCCCAGTTAATCCCAGTTTATCCCAATCCCATCCCAATCCCATCCCAGTCCATCCCAGTCCATCCCAGTCCTTCCAGTTCCCCCCAATCCCATCCCAGTTTATCCCAGTTCCCCCCAGTCCCCTCCCAGTTAATCCCAGTTTCCATCCCAGTCCCATCCCAGTCCATCCCAGT